GGGAAGATGGGATCCCGGAGCTGCGGGGAATCTGCCTGGAACGCTGCCCCTGGAGAGGGGCCCGGAGCCCCACCTAATCAACCTCCGGGGCCTCAGCGGGGACAGCGGGGACAGCAGGCCCGGCGTCTGTGGAGAGCACTGGTGTGGAAGTATTGTAATGTTTTAAAAATACATAATCTGGCATTAGATGCCGATTTACATGACCTTTGTCCGTTTTCGCCTGGAGCCACTGAAGCAGGAGTGAATAAATACCGGAGATGGAGAGGCCCGGCCCTGAGCAGGGAGCTTTATGCCCCGAGGGGCCATATGTCCCCTTTGCCCGAGACGCTCGGCTTTCCCTCTGCTCACGGCACCCCGTTTCCCTTTCAGAAGTCCTAGTCTGGATGCTAAACTGGAAACGGCAGGGATGGTCTGGCTGAGGCTCCTGAAGCCCAGCACTGTTTACTGTAACAGCTTGCCTCAAGGAGCATCCCGAAGCTGAGGCCCAAACCGCCTGTCGTACTTTACGTGGAATGCTCTACAATGGTTCTCCAACGGCGCCCGCAGCCTGTCAGCATCACCAGCACCCGGGAACTGGTTAGGAATGCCCATCCCCAGGCCCCACCTCAGCCCTGCAGAATCAGTAGCACCAGGAAACTCCGCCTTCCGCTTCACCAGCTCCCCAGGGGGTTCTGAGGTGTCCCCCGGAAAGTCAGGAAGGATGTGTGAAGCGTGGGGAGGAGCCTGGGGTCTGGCTCCGAGTCCCTTCATCCCCATCTAGCTGCTGCTCTGGCCGGCTCTCAAATTCCCCACCTGGAAAGGCCACACGAGGGTAAGTTCCTCACCTGCATCTCAGGATTGGTATGAAAATCAGAAAGCTGCCATGGGGCTTCCCTGGTGGCGCAGTGGTTAAGAATCCACCTGCCAATGCAGGAAACATGGGTTCGAGCCCTGGTCCGGGAAGATCCCACATGCCGCGGAGCAAGTAAGCCCGTGCGCCACAGCTACTGAGCCTGCACTCTAGAGCCCGTGCTCCACAAGAGAAGCCACAGCAATGAGAAGCCCGCGCACCTCAGCAGAGAGTAGCCCCCGCTCGCCGCAACTAGAGAAAGACCGCGTGCAGCAACGAAGACCCAACACAGCCAAAAATAAAAATTACTTAAAAAAAAACTAAAACTGCCACGTATGAGAGTACTTCAGAAGTCTAAGTGCGTCGCCCATGACGTTATTTAAGGCTGCCTGTCAGCCGCTGTCCCCCCCCCCCCACCCCTCCACTCATGAGCCAAGAACGTCAAGAGCATTGGTCTGTAGGTAGTTTTCACTTTGGAAGCCCTGGACAGCTGCAGGGAGTCCTGCAACCTTTACAACTGAGTGCAAAACTGTGAGTGGAAAGGGGCACCTTCCGGACGTCAAGAGCTTGGTCTGTAGGTAGTTTTCACTTTGGAAGCCCTGGACAGCTGCAGGGAGTCCTGCAACCTTTACAACTGAGTGCAAAACTGTGAGTGGAAAGGGGCACCTTCCGGAGAGAAGACCGTTCAGATCCCCCCGAGTCAAGCCCTGCTGCTTGTGGTGGGCATCTCCCCCTCCCCCCAACACACACACGGCCATCAGCAGGGGCTTCCTGGCCGCCCTGGGATAAGGAGGACGGTGGCGGCAGGGGTTAGAGACCCCAATACAGCGAGTGCACCGCCAACCCCGCCTGAGCGCAGCATATCCACGGGGACTTCCGCGTCTGCTCCGGAGTAACGGGCGGACGGTGCGCCGGGCCCGGAGGTGGGCTGGGGTGGTGACAGCCTCGCACGCCTGTGTCTCTCTCACCCACAGCAGGAGGCAGGGCCGCGGCTTCACCTACATCACCCGCGGCCCCTCCCAGCACCTCCACGAGGTCTGCCTCACTCCGGTGGTTTATCCGTGAGAACACTGGCCCGAGGGGGTGAGGGGGGAAGCCGGGATTTGAACCCAGCCTCTGTGATCACGCCGAGCTCACGTGTCAAACGGGCAGGAGGCGGTGGGCCATGGGGTAAAGGGGCTCAAGGTCACCAGTCAGGGATACTGAGATGCCTCACAGAACGCGACGGAAGAGTCAAAATCGTTCCGAAAGCAAAAGTAAGGCTCCAAAGAGACGGACCAGCGCTCCTGGGGGCCGTGCACAGGTTCCTTGCAGACCAGCTCCACGGCTCCGCTCGCCAGGCCCTTCACCTTCCCCCAGGTTCCATCCTGACACCCGCCTGATCTCGGCCCTGAGCCCTGGGCCCCCTGCAGTCCGACCTGCTGACCTCACGAACTCCTCCATGTAGCCCCTCGATCCTTCAGAAATGTGGCCTCAAAAAAAAAAAAAAAAAAAAAAAAAAAAAAAAAAAAAAAAAAAAGAAATGTGGCTTCGTTCTGACGTCAGAGAGACAGGGTAAGTTACCTACAAGGTACCGTGACCAAAAAACCCCACAAAAAACCACTCGGACGTCGGAAACTGAATTAAGTCTCATTTATTCTAGAGCAAACTCAAAAGGATTTTTTTTCTTGTTTTCTTTTTTAGCAAATCCTAGCACATTATTAACAACAACAAAAAATCTGTACATTTGCCATGATACACTTGAAAGTGAAACAAATAAGATATAAATACAGATATGGATGTAACATGAAAAAGCCCCAAAAAACCAAAAACCAAAACCAAAAACCCAACCTGGGGGTGTGGGGACCATGCGTGTGAACAGTGCCGACAAAACTATTTTGGTGGCTGATATTTTTCAGAGCATTTTTTTCATCTCCAAATATCATGGTTAGCAAGGTCCTGGTGGGATTCTACAAAGTTCTTATTTGCTGTTCTTTAACGTGTAATATTATGCTTGATAAATTAAGGGCGGTAGGGCAAGAAAAAGATTCAGGAGACAGATCAGGTGCAGCTGCATGACTGAGAAGCTAGTGGGGCCGTCGCGGGCGGCCCGTGGCTGCAGTGGCTCCAGGAAGGCCGCGTGCCTCCCCCTGGGCCTCAGCAGCGGGAGGGGAAGCGGGAGCCCGGCGATCTGGCCCCTGCGGTGGCGTCGGGGCTTTTCGGGGCCCTGGACAGTCAGGCCAACGGGGGAGGCGGACCGAGTCTCGGGTACTCTGCTCGCCTGAGTTCTACCGTTTCATCCAAATAGGACGCCTGCAGGGAGGCGGCGAGGCAGGGCAGCTGCAGCTGTCGGTGGGGAGTGGGCGGGTCCCGCTGGGTCAGGACATCAAGGCTGGGCAAGTCACGTTCAAGGTTAGCCCTTTGTGAGCGCCAGGAGGACGCGCGCGGCCACGTTCAAGGTCCTTCCTGACTGCGGGCGGGGCCGCGGCCACCTGGGCGTCCACGAGCTGAAGAAGAGAGGCCTTTCCACACACGCTTGCCAGGAAAGACTCGGAAATAACCCGGCGGAACACAGGTGCTGCTCCAGAGGAGTCATCAGACGCTGACGATGATAGAGGACAAGAAAGCGACCCCGCGAGTGACGTAAGAACAAACAGCAATGGCTGTTCTGAGCCGAAAAGAAGCCAATAACGTTCGACCACGTAAAGCACGCCCCTGATGTTCTCTCAACGTCAGCAGCGCGGGGCCCTCCCGCACGTGCAGGATACCCGCTACGCGCACGCACGCACAAAGCGCACGCACACAGTATGCACGCGCACGCAGTGAAGGCGCCCTGGCCTCTGCTCCCGGACCTCCGTCTTCAGTGCCTATTTCCGCATAAAGTATCTGAAGTCGATTCTGCATGAAAACAAGCTATGTAGTTCGGGGCTGTGGAGCTCAGGGCTGAGAGCCACACAGCCTGGCAGCTGCAGGGGCTGGGCGCCAGAGCAGCAAACACCTCATTAACAATATGGAAAAGTCAGTTCCGTTTACAGGGGCTACGGTGGAATCTAAGAGACGACAGACGCCTTCCTGACCGCATTAAGAGCTTCCATCTGGCTTGAAACCTTTTACTCCAAACTTTGTTAACCAGGGTCCTGATCCGGAGTTGCTTTCACTGAAGCAGGGCAACCCTCAAGAAGAAGTTTTAAAGGGGTAAGTTTCTCACGGAAGAATTTGATTCTAAAACTGTGTTTCCAATCCTGTTTTTCTGCGATCCGCCACACACACCACAATTACTTTTTCCTTAAAACCATGATTCTCTCAACAGAGGATCAAGGAATTTCAGTCCATAAAATTAAAAAAAAAAAAAAAAAAAGATCCCGATACCTGGTCTCTCTAGATTTTTCTTTGATCTCAATCCCAAATTAAACAGAGAATTCAAAACTGAGATGGCAGAGCTGCCATTTACCAGACTAACCGAGAACATCTTAGAATCGAGCCGCTCAGGCGCAGGTTGGGGAAGGGAAGCGAGGGGGCCCTAAATCTGCACCACCAGGGGCCAGGGTCACGGGGGAAGCGCTGTTAAATAGTGTTTCCCAGGATCTCGGCAGTAAAATGAGACGCTTCTCCGGTATCTTCGACGCTGCACGAAGGGCCATTTCAAGCACACCCTAACCAAGGCTGTCGATTTACCTTGATTTTTGTGTTTGGATTTCATCTCTAAGAAGCCCCTCAAGTGGCAGCTCTGGGGCAGGGGCGGCATCGGTGGGGTTGCTCAGAGGGGCAGGAGCCCGTCCTGGAAGGAGACCGCGCAGGGCGTCAGCCTCCGGTCCGGAGACAGTGAGCACGATTACTACATGTTCGTTAAAATGCCATCTTCAGGCTTTTCTCCCACTTCTTGCCAAGACTTGATTCATATTCTTAGTAGGTCTCAAAACACAACTTACAACGTACAAACCCTTTCATGGTGTCAGTTGTGGAAGGCGTGGGGCTTTGCCCCACACAGGCCACACCCAAAACCAAGGAGGATGAGATGAAAGAGAAACACAACTTAACCCAACCTCCTCCAATCCTATTAACTGAAGAGAAAAATGCTACTTTCTACCAGGTATCGGCTAGAGAGCTCTGATTTTTAAAAACTGCACCCCACACACACGGTTTTATGACCTCAGCAGGCTGGACAAGACGGTTTAAGTATGGCTCTTCTTTTCTTACTCCTTTTGTTTTGTTTTGTAGGAAGATGCAATGCAGGCCTTGCTTCCTTTACATTCAATACCAGTATGATTCTACACAAAAGCTGGAAGGGATCAAAATACTGATTGTAATAAATATTTGCGGGCCTCCTGGTACTGACTGGGCAGCCGATGGGGGGGAGGGGGAGTTCTCTGAGAGGCACCACCGATTGCTTCCAGGGCTACACGGGGACTCTGGCGCCGCATTAACTATGCGTGGAGACGTCGGATGAGGAGCTGCTGTTGCTGTTCGTGGTCTGCGCTCTCTTTATGTATAAGTTGAGCAGCTTCATCTGCAAGGAGAAGATACAAACGGGTGAGCAGGAGGAAAAAATCAGAGCAGGAAAGAAAACCCAGGTGACAACAGAACAGCACATCCGGGCTTCCCTGGTGGCGCAGTGGTTGAGAGTCAGCCTGCCGATGCAGCGGACGCGGGTTCGTGCCCCAGTCCGGGAAGATCCCACAATGCCGCAGAGCGGCTGGGCCCGTGAGCCATGGCCGCTGAGACTGCGCGTCCAGAGCCTGTGCTCTGCAGCGGGAGAGGCCACAACAGTGAGAGGCCCACGTACCGCAGAAAAAAAACAAAAAAAACAGCACGTCCCTTACTGGAGAAATTCACTGCACAGACATTTCCTGAGTGCCCACCACTGGTCCAAGCCATCTGCCCGGGGCCAGGGCCACCGCGATTGGGAGGTCAGACTAGAGGAGGGGGCGCGAGGGGTTATCACGAAAAGAGGGAAACATGTTACCACGAGGTGGGCCTCAGGGCTGCAGATCCACACACTTCAGGGGCAAGGCAGCCACTGGCTCCACCCAACCCAGTGGGTAGAGAGGGTGCAAGCCACACTCCATCAGCATGAAGAAGCAAGCCAAGGTCAGAGGTCACGTTTTCTAACCCTCACATGTGTGCAGAAGCTGCTCCTTCCCCGTTGCACACCTCCTGAGGTGCGTGGAATCCGAGGCCGTCCCCATCTGCCCCCATGGCCTTCCCGCGCCCCGGGCCCCAGCCCCGCCCACTGTGGCTCAGCACAGGCCACCTCCTGCTGCAGGGAGCAGTGGGCTGGATCTTTCCAGCAAGACTCAACTTCCCTGAGGCCAGACGCTACGTCACTAAACAACGTGCCATCAGTCAGGCACAGTGCTTGATGAAGAAAGGGCTTCCAAGCCTGACATCTCATTTAGTTCTAACTCAAGCCCCCTGGACTCTCAAAATACCTAAAGCACCATGTAACATGGTAGGTTCTTAAATATTTGCTGAATGCCGCTAACTTCCTATGTTGATAGTGTGCCTGATCATATTAAGAATGAAAAGAAACAGGTATTTGTAGAAGCAGAGTGCCCATAAAAATCTACACAACACACAACTGGTAAGATTAAGGGAATATTTACTATCCACAGCTCTTCCACAGCTCTTTAGCTGCTGTCTCTGAACAGGCTGTGAGGCCAAGTATAAGGCTGCCTAGGGAGGAGCGGCTGGTCCCCGGGGAACCCACGAAGAGATGCTCCGAGTGGAGCGTGTGGCACAGGAGAAAGCGGGGCCCTTGGATGATGGGTGGGAACAGGACCAGCAACCAGCAGAGCCCCCGCGAGGCAGTGTCTCCCTGACCCCCAGCAAGGCACGCTCAGTCACATGGCTGTGGAGCCTGGGACATGCAGCTGGCGGGAGGGCTCTGCCCGAGCGTCTTCACGCAGCAGCCCACCGGGGGTCCCCCCCAGATCAGGACTTGTAATGCCTCTTACTCTTTTCAGCTGCAGGGAGTGTGTCGGGAATTTATGCTACGTATCTCAGTCTGTTTGCATCCCACACCTTTCAAAATCTGAAAGCTTTCAATAGAATAGTCAGTGTAGTGATCAAAGTGCCATCACTGGACCTCCCTGGTGGCACAGTGGTTAAGAATCCACCTGCCAATGGAGGGGGATGGGTTCAGTCCCTGGCCCAGGAAGATCCCACATGCCGCAGAGTAACTGAGCCCATGCGCCACAACTACTGAGACCGCGCACAACTACTGAAGCCCACACGCCTAGAGCCCGCGCTCTGCAACGAGAAGCCACCACAGTGAGAAGCCCGTGTGCAACAACGAAGACCCAGTGCAGCCAAAACTAAAATAAATTTATTAAAAAGGAAAACAAAACTCAAAGTGCCATCATTTTACACAAGGTTCCTAAAGCTCTAAGGCTCAGGAGGATACGACCAGGGCCAACCAGGTGCAAGGGGAGCCGTGGTACATTCAACAAAGCACTGGCCTGAGGCTCAACAGGTCCAGCAGAATTCTAGAACTAACTCCAACACTAACTAGTTCTGTGACCTCAGGCAAACATTTCTTGAGCCTCGACTTTCCCATCTGCAAAATGCAGAGCAGTGACACTTGCAAGGTGCTTCCTGAAGCTCCCTGCTCGGAGAACATGTCCTCTGAGCACCCCACTCCTACTCCTACCTGAGCTGTTCACACTGTTCCTCCCTGCAGTCCACTCCTTCCCTCCCTGTGCAGCTCCCCAGTCCTGCCAAGCCCAGCCCAATCTAGTCCCACTTCCTCCAGGCCCCTGACCCAGCAATCAGAGCCCGTCCCACCGTGTCCACTGGTCACTCCTGGGCAGCTGTACAAGTTTCCTCATGTGTCAGTCCTGTCAGGGCAGGATGAGTTCTTGCTCTTCCCATGTGCCTTAGCATAGTGTGCTGAAGACAGCAGGTTCCTAACATGTACTTGTTGAATCAGACTTTTTTTTTTGAATACATCTTATTGGAGTATAATTGCTTTACAATGCTATGTTAGTTTCTGCTGTACACCAAAGTGAATCAGCCATATGCATACATATGTCCCCATATCCCCTCCCTCTTGAGCCTCCCTCCCACCCTCCCCAATCCCACCCCTCTAGGTCATCGCAAAGCACCAAGCTGATCTCCCTGTGCTATGCTGCTGCTTCCCACTAGAGTTTTTAAAGAAGAAAAAAGTGATCTAGAAAGCAGGATAGTTATATTTCTATGAAAGCCTGGTTAAAAATGAGCTGCTAAACATTGCTAATAGTTATTTACAAATCAGAACCCCTACTGTATCTACCTAGTCAAGTCTAGAACATAATTGCAAGTACAAGGAAAAGATGATGGTAATAGAGTGAATGATGTGTATATGTTCAACGGTTTACAAGCTTTACACTGATTATCACATTTGGGCCTGAAAGCAATCCTTTGAGGTAGGCAGAACAGGTTCTCCTATTTTACAAATGAAAAGGCCAGGGTTCAGAAAGCTTGCTCAATGAGCTGGTACAAATTCAAATTAGAGGATTATAACTTTAGGATGTCAAATGTAATCCACAAATAAAACAGGTATAGAATATACACAAAAGGAGATGAGAAGGGAATTAAAACGTTTCAGTACAAAAAGCAAACAAACACAAAACAATAGTGTAGAAAATGAGGGACAAAAAAGCTATAAGGGACATAGAAAGCAAATACTACAATGACAGAAATCTCTTCCTTATCAGTAATTGCTTTAAATGTGAATGAGTTAAATTCTCCAATCAAAAGACAAAGATTGGAAAAATGGATAAAAAGAAAACCATGATTCAACTATATGTTGTCTACTAGAGACTCACTTTTGATCCAAAGACACAAATAGGTTGAAAGTGAAAGAATGGAAAAGGATATTCCATGCAAACAGTAACCAAGAGTACAGGGTAGCTACACTAATATCAGACAAAATACAGTTTAAATCAAAAAAGGTTACAAGAAACAGATGGACATTACATATCAATATAAGAGCAATACAGCAAGAAAATTTAATATTTATAATTACACATCTAAGAACATGCCATCAAAATATATGAAGCAAAAACTGACAGCATGGAAGGGAGAAATAGTTTTATAGTAATAGTTGGGAGACTTCAATATTCCACTCTAGAGGACTTGAACAACACAATAAATCAACTAGATCTAAAAGACATATGCAAAACATTCTACACAAGAATACACATTCTTCTCAAGTGCACATGAGACCTTCCCAAGATAGACCATATGTTAGGCCACAGATTAAGCCTCGATACATTTTAAAAGATAAATATGATACAAAGTAACTTTTCTGACCACAATAGATGAACTCAGAAATCAGTAACAAAAAGAAAACTGAAAAATTCACAAATTTGTGGAAATTGAACAGCACACTCTTAAACAACCATTGGGTTAAAGAAGAAATCACAAAGGAAATAGGAAAATACCTTGAGACAGATGAAAACAACATACCAAAATTTATGGGATACAGCAAAAGCAGTGCAAAGAGAGAAATTCATAACTATATAAAAAAGAAGGAAGATTTGTATCAACAACCTAACTTTATATATCTTAAGGAACTAGAAAAAGAATAATAAATTAAACCCCAAGCTAGCAGAAAGAAAATAATAAAGATTAGAGCAGAGATAAATGAAACAAAAAATAGAGGTAACAAAACCAAAACTTGGTTCTTTGAAAAAGAATCAACAAAATTGACACACCTTTAGCTAAGTTAACTAACAGAAAAAGAGAGAAGACTCAAATTGTTAAAATCAGAAACAAATGTGGGGACATTATGACTGATTCTAGAGAAATCAAAAAGATCATGAGAATACTATGAGTAACTGTACACCAACAAATTAGCTAACTTAGATGAAATGGACAAACTCCTAGAAACACAACACCTATCAAGAAGAAAAGCGAAACCTGAACAGACCCATAACTAGTAAAGAGATTGAATCAGTAATCAAAAATCTGACAAAGAAAAGCCCCTGACCAGGTGGCTTCATTGGTGAATTCTACCAACATTTAGAGAACTGACACAATCCTTCTCAATTTTTTCTAGAAAACTGAAGAGGAAGGAACACTTCTGAATTCATGCTATGAGGTCAGCATTCTCCTGATATCAAAGCCAGATGAAGACATAACAAGAAAACTACAGATCAATAGCCCTTATGAACACTGATGCAAAAATCCTCAAGAAAAGACTGGCAAACCAGATTCAACAGCACATTAAGAGGCTTTAATACCATGACTAAGTGGGATTTATTCCTGAAATGCAAGGACGGTTCAACATACAAAAATTGATAAATATAATACACCACATTAAGAGAATGAAGGAAAAAACAAAAACAAACAAACAAAAAACCCCAGGGACTTCCCTGGTGGTGCAGTGGTTAAGAATCCACCTGCCAATGCAGGGGACATGGGTTCAAGCCCTGGTCTGGGAAGATCCCACATGCCTCGGAGCAACTAAGCCCATGCGCCACAACTATTAAGCCTGTGCCCTAGAGCCTGCGAGCAACAACTACT